AGGACAGTCAGTAGCTGTGTGAGATAGCTCAACATTCCTTACATTTCCTCCTTATGCCTGTAAAATATTAAAAATTAAAATTTCTAATGACAAGTCTTGGCTCATCTTGTTCACTGTTCTTAAGAGTCAGCAGGAGTCAATTTTGCATTGTTGTTGACCTTCAGATGCCAGGCAAAACAGTGGTTGTCCCGTTGTCCGTGTTAAATGTAATATAAAAATTAAATGTTTGTGTACCAATAAGGTGTAATAGTATTGCTAAGCCTGCCTATACTAGAAAAAGGCCAGCTGTTATGAACTTATTAGAACAACAATATAACCATTAAATGGTGTAAATAAATAGGAGTAAAATGTGCAACTAGGAATGAAGCATTGTGATAATTTTTGTGTTAATAATAATTATGTTTCATTGTAAAATAAAGTGAGTATTTATTTTAATATAAAAAGTAAGAAAACTCTTCAGTCCGAGCACAGATCAGCAAAAACATGCGTTCACGTTGAAGTATATTAATCATGCACCGTAAGCTTAGTTCCCAAGCAGAAAATTTTATGTGATTCTTAAATAAAATATACAATATGAATTGCTTTTCAGATTTTTAAAACTTTTTTTAGGGAATGAAAAAATCACATTTTAACCCTTTGAGTGCCAACGTCCGGGGAACCGGACGTTTTAAAAACGAGCCAAAAGTGCCAACGTCCGGCTGACCGGACGTTTCGTAATGATGGAACAGCTGTCATAACAACCGAATGGATACTCGGATTCTTTTAACCCATATATTAACATTGAGTCGAAAGTTACTAGATGCGATACATCGATTTTCGTTGGTCGAAATATCGAAAATTCGATTTTTACGAAATTTTAACCTAAAAATCGCCAGATCGCGCTCGGCATTTTTAGCGCGACCTTCGGGAAAAATCATCGGCATTTTTTGAGCGTTACTTTTATTTCTCGCCTGGCACTCTAAGGGTTAAGAAAATATATTAATGTAGTTTGACAAAATAATAAGAATTAAAATTAAAAAGTAGATAGCAAATCACATCTGCGGTTTCAATAGCTTTAAAATTAGGTATTTTACAACTTGTTATCTTAATAAACAATGCCGTAATATGCTTCAACCATCAAACATTGTCATTATGGGTAGAAAATCCAAGATGGCCAGCAGTCCTACCGACTCTTGATTTCAACCATATCCCCCTTGGTGTCGCATTGACAATCTCTAAATGTCGTTAGTATTTAAGCACTTTTGCCGAGTTTTGTGTAAATATCCAGAAAAACTTTCACTGAAGACATATATACATAAACATATATATTTTCTTTAACACGTTTGCTGCTACGGACGTTCCAGAACGTCAGCTGGGCCACGGCGCCAGGAGATAGGAACGTTCCGGAACACCACCGTTCATTGTTATTTAACGTTTCCATGGATATGCCAGCTCGTTACAAGCGTCCTATATTTCTTTGCAGCTCGTGGAGACGTACTTTTCTGACAATAAAAAATATAGTTTACCAAAAATCACCACCAGGGTCGTTTGGAACAGGGCTTTGTCCCACCTCTTTACTGCTAGATAGCGACACTACTTTACCGACTGCAACCGGTGCATAGAGTGTCTATTCCTCAGGTAATTGTCAATCCACAATAGAAGTTTGCCAATAATATCATAGGCCTTCAGTTTAGCAATAAGATGATCGTGGCTCACTTTATCGAAATCCTTACTAAAGTCGAGAAGCATCAACTTGGGCTCTATTATCAAAGGATGAATATATGTACTGCTCAAAGGTAATTAGATTTGTTGCTGTAGACCTTCCCATAGTAAACCCGTGTTGTTCTTTAACTATGAGACTTCCAAGCAGAGGTCTGAGTCTATCTAGGACCAAAGATTCAAAAGTTTTAGCAATGGGTGACTGGATGGTAATTGGTCTATAGTTACTGGCCTCAGACATGTCACCAGCTTTAAAGATTGGAGCAATGTAGGATGTTTTCAAGGATGACGGAAAAGTACCCTAGCTCAAGCTGGGATTGAATAGCTCAGAGATAATCCTACAAAGAGGTTCACTGCATTCACGAAGAACAATAGCAGGTATGCCATCTGGACCACAGCCCTTAGCGACATCAAGTTCTTCCAACTTCTTCCTCACCTCTTCCGGTGATGTCTGAACACAGGCAATAGAAATGCTAGAGGGTTTATTAGGATAGTCAGGAACGACAGATGGAACATTGTTATAGACACTAGCGAAGTGACGGGAGAAAATGTTGGCCATAGTTCTAGGATCTGATGATTCCTCAGCACCCAGTTTGATTCTAGATGGGATGGATGTTGACTTCTTCAGTCCGTTCACATAACTCCAATTTATCTTGGGATTTTTAGGAATAACACTATCAACATGTGCAATATACGATCTATAACATTCCACTGACATGGATATACATGCAGATCGCACTCTAGAAAAAGCCATGTAATCACTGTGTAGACGAGTACACTTGTAAACTTTATGAAGAGTCTTCTTGTGAACAACCAGAGCTTTTAGGTCTCCACTAAACCAGCGAGGAAAAGGCAAACATCCAACTCTTTTGAGAGGAGTGTGTTTCCTGACAGCACACCTCAGCTTGTACATGAATAAATAAAATTGTTGTAATTAATGCCAATGTCAGCCTGCAGACACAGTTCATTTTCAAGATGATTTATTTCTCCTTTTATCCCATCAAAGTTACATTTGTTGAAATTATAAACGTATGAACAGGTGTATTTGTTCAATGCCTCTGCAGGAGTTAATACATCAACATCCAAAGCAGGATGAAATCTATCTTTGTAAGCAAGGAGGTCAGTAGCTTTTTAAACCATACAAGGCAAGTTGGAGAAGCCAAGATCCAACATAGCCCCTTTATCATTAAATACAACGTTGGACTGTTTGAGATCAAAAGTATTAGCAGTATCATATATAATATTTTTTGAAGCATCTGGGTTGGCAGCACTAATGAGGTTAAAGTCCCCAGCTATCAGAATATTATCAAACTTAGTTATCAGGTCCAAGGTTAACCGTTCAAAGGCATCACAGAATGTACTGTAGCTAGACAATTGTTCATTAGGTGGTAAATAAACCCCACAGATCAGAAAATAGAAAGCCTTGCTCAGAGTAACCATGACAAAGACCGTTTCAATATTTTCGCAAGGAGAAGGTACTATGCATGATTTAATATCGGCACGGACAGCAACCAGTACTCCTCCTCCAGAAGCCTTACTACTTGTAGAAGTTGATCTGTCACAACGGAATACTTTGAAATTTGAGAAACCCAACTCAGACGTGTGTACCGTAGGGTCTAACTTGGTTTTAGTTAAAATTACAATATCATAATTACTGGTGTTAACATTATGCATAAAGTCTGGTAGCTTAGATCTAATCCCATTAATATTCTGATAATATAGCTTGGCATTCCTGTGGTTAACTAGTTTTTGGATGAGCTTTCAAAGTACTAATTGTAGGAACTCCATTTCTTTATTTAATTGTTAGGTTTGGCTGCAGTTCTATCCTCAAGTTCCTTCTTAGACTACGTTCATTAAGTTCTCCAACAATATCATCAACCTTTGTTTCTACTGCTTTGTCCCGTTCCTCCACTGCTGACATGCGCCTATCCAAGGCATCAATGCGAGGCTCAATTATGTTAAGTTTTTCTTGTATGCTACTAAGTTCCACCTTAATTGCCTTAGTATCCTCCGGAACCTGTTCCAATTTATCAACTTTAGCAGAGTGGCTGTTTACCTTCACAATGAGAGAGTTAATAGCATCAACAAGATTTTCTAGGGGAGATTTAGCTGTACAGTCAACCCTGGTGCAATACCACTTATTTTGAGAGCTGCTGGATAGTTTAGTGTATTCAGTTTTAGTAATTCTAACACATTCACGATGGAACCACCTGTCGCACGGCCCATCGCAACGTATTCCTTCATCACCACCCAGCAACTTCCTAAGACACCCAGCGTTAATCCAAGGGGGAGGGGGCCATGTCCCGATTTTTCCTTAACTTAAGGTGGCAACCCTGGAGTAACCACACATGTTGCAAAACACTATCAGTCACTAAATAAAAAACTGTTATATACATTTTATTATTAAAGGAGTAAAAAGAAAGTATAGTGTTTATTCGAAAACTGATTACTAAACTTAAAAAAATATATATGAACACCGATTGATGTCGCTATGACAACCATAGACGAAAACAAACAGAACGAAACAGAAAGCCTGCAACGTTGCCGTAATTACGGTGATTGACACTTGCGGCAAAAATTAAGTTGCCGTAATTACAGCGATTGACCCTTCAAGGGATATAGGTCTACTTGCAGTATCTTAAGTCAATAGTATATTTGGTTCAGATACTGTAAATTAAATGCCTATTTATTTGCAGTATCCATATCAATGGTATATCTGGTTCACGTGTATAGAATGCCTACTTGCAGTATACAAAATCAAAGGTATCTTTGGTTCACATAAATTTAATGGAATTGCTATTTGGAGTATCTAATGTCAATGGTACATTAGCCCAACTCCAGTGTCACTAATTAGTTATTCATTTTTATGCTCAACAATATTAATCCGATTGTTCTTCCTTTCTGTCCTATATTTGTAATGAGCTAGTTTAGATGATTTGTTGATAAACATATGTTACTATTGTTTACCTTTTTATTGTCATCCTGCAAATAATGTCATGGCCAGTGGCATAAGTATATTGAGTGGTGCCCCCCTCCCCCTGCAGTACATTAGGAGTGTGTGGAAAACAAAAGCAGGAGTGTAGTATAAGAGCTACGCTTACTACGCTCAATCAAATTAATCAAACTCTAATAAGTTAACCGTTGTGTGAGCAATTAATTGTCCTATCAATAAACACAATTTTTAAACCTGCCAACAAAGCCAGTTTATGTTGGTTTTAACATGTAATGGTTTACAATAATAGGCCTACATACGATACATTAAAAAAAATCAAATTCATCAGGTTGTACGGTTAGAGAATGCACACAATTGAAAACAGGTTTTATTTGTATCATAATTTAATGATAGTAAACAATATTTCATTTGCAGTTACCAAAATAGCTTATCAAGTATTCCAGATAAAGTATAAAAAATGTCACAATAAGTGAAAAACCTTTCCTCTTCAAACTTCATGAAGCTGTAAGGTGCAATCAATCCTCAAAGTTCAAACATTTCCGTAGCATTCTTGAATGCTATGGGGTTTCAATGACCTGAAAATGTGAATAACATATTGTTACAAAAGAGTAAGGCCAGGCATATGCTAAGATGAATGCGGCACAACACAGCACAAGGCAGACAACTGAGCAGTCATGTTTTCTCAAGGCGCCGTAAGCTGAGACACACATGAGTATGTGTCTGGGACACATGTGGGCCAGCATGTCAAATTTACGACGCATACGATACAACTTGGGTATAGGCACGAACTTTAGAACAAAAAAGATAGGGATCTTAAACAAATTGCGTCACTGGCTTGATTGTAACCAGATAATCGTAAAACATGGTACTATTCATATTTTAGCTGCAAAATATCTTCTTTTTAAAAATAAACTTTTTACTTTCTCCCCTATACCATAGTATATGGAGAAAGTACTTGTTGAAGTTTAAGTATCTTATAGCCCTTTAAATTATGAACAAAATTCCATTTCTTCAACTTCCATTTCTGTAAAAATTGAAGTTCAAAAGTTATTGCAACTTACGTTATTTTCCCATAAAATAACAGAAAATCAGATTTTCGGGAAAAAAACCTTTCATTAAAATTAGTATGTTATGGTGCTTATAATTTTCAACAAAATAGTGCAACCCCCATTGCTGTACAAATTACTGTTCAAAAGTTATTGCAACCTATGTGATTTTTCCTATAATATATCATAGTTATACCCACCTTATAAAGGTTGTTGACAAGCTAATGAGAGAAAGTGAGTGTCAGATTGCTGATACCATTTATTTTGCTTTCAGCCAGTAATTTGTTGAATGTTTTTATCCAACAACACAATGGCAAAAAATGTACGTCTTATTGACGAATTGCACGTGCTTTTTGATGTTAACCATGAAGGTTTAGTGTAAAAAATGTATGAACATATGCTCTATGGGCCAACATAGCCAAGGATTTTAAATTACCATCAGGTAACGATAATTTTCCTTGATTAATGGTTCAATTGCATTCATCACTCATTAGTTTTAGAGAATTCCCCCCAGCAAAGAAGCTGCTGACATATATAATCAATATACCCACAGATTACAGTTAAAAATTTAATTATTTATTATATCATATTAATTGAATTTAATATTTAAACTATAAGAATACAATTATTTGGTTTGCAATAATTACAATATTTAAGTTAATGTTGATGAACAGGTTGTTATATAGACCTGTGTGGAAGATGTTCAAAAGCCTACTTAAACTCAAAAATTTCCCGCATTTTACACAATCATTTTGCCATGCAAAGCAACCCTTTCAAAAGAATTGAAAAACTCATTGAAGTTGTCCCGTGTTAGTTTTGAGTGGGTGCTCGAATTCTTTAGGGAGGTAGAGAGATTAGGATGATATTTCTTCTAGATTAAAGAGAGCATTAGATGGAATTTTGTCAATCTCAATGTCATATTCAACGCCAGTTCGAACGGTTTCGCAAGTAGTTATGTAGCACAAGTGTAGAACACTCGGCCTGGGGTGATTATGAGAAACTTACCCTCCCCAACAAACAATTGGGAACATGGGTAGCTCTGAGTCTTGTGCCCCCGAAATATTCCCCATAGGTCAATTTAAAAGGTTTTGTGGGTAAGAGGGAAGTAGGGAAGGGGAGATAGGGGGTGTGTGACACAGCAAGCTGGGCAAAAACTATGAATAGGCAAAACGTGTACTAGGTAGACCCAAAAATATTTTTACGCTATTCTGGAAAAATTACATTTATCTTGGTTTAAACTTGCGGAGCGACGCTGCGGCCAGGGATAGAGCGTGAAAACAAGCTTCAAAAATGCACCCCAGTCCATTCTTCTGCGAGCCCGCAGCAGGCGATTTTGAAGACGCGCCGATTCTGCGTGTGTGGCATACCTCATTACATTTAATGGTGCTCATATTTCTCGCCTTTTTTCACGCTGCATTCTTGCATGAAAAAACGCCCATGTGGCCATAGCCTTAGACTCTCTTGTTAAAAGGAATTTGCCATGTGTTTTAGATTCTTCACATAATCACTCTGCCACATATCTACTTTTGGAAACGCAATATAAAAGAACCAATTAATTCCCTCAATTTCCATGTCAGACTCAGAGGAATAAAGCATGGAACTTCGCCATGGAAATTCACCACTTTAGTCCATCTTTACAACTAACTGTGTTTCTGTGTGGTACAGATTATCCAACACACGCAACACAACTCATCTGCAAGCTGACAACAACAAAATGAGAGTCTGATTGAGTTATTACGCGAATCATCTTGGGCAGTTGCAAAATGGCATAATAGGACTATCGGAACACAAATAAAAAAAAGTTCCCATTGTTGACTCCACATAACATTTTGCAATTGTTCTTTAAACCTCTTTTCAGAGCTAAAATAAGTCAAAGATTTATATGGTAAACTTGATAATTTAGGGATGAAATAAAAATAAAATACCCCCGCCACATAAAACCTGCAGACAAATCAAGTTTTAATTTGTCTGCTTGGATTTTTACTAAAATGTTTACATAATCAAGACATATGTATTCCCCATCTATATATGAAGCCAAAAGTACCCATGAGCTTTTGAGAAAACTACAAGTCACACCCCCATAAACCATATACTTAAAATGTTCGTCATGATGAGAAACCTTGCGCAAAACTATCCCTTAAGTCATAAATTGCCCTTTAAGGTCGTAATTCCTTTCTAAAGGGAACTTTTCACATACCTAATGTTAAAAATACCTCAGCTGTACTCATTTGTTTGTTATTCTTTCAATTTATTACCTTATTAAAATCGGGTGTGATTATTTGTTTCTTTTACTGTATTTTGTTTATTTCAGGTTAACTTAACCAATCAATAGTTTTATTAATACTTATGATGTCAAACGGGATGAAGCCCGTGGGTAACAGCTAGTTTAAATAACATTGGATTTAAGGAGTACAGTAGAGTCCCGCAAACTTGGCACTCGATAACCCGGCAGTCTGGATAACTCAGCCATCACCTGTCTCAGAAAATTAGTGATTTTTTGAGTCCGAGTTCAACACGTACTCAAGCCAGCTCAAGTAAAATCATTCACAACTCGTACCAAGGATTTATTGTACAATATCTGATGACTTAATCCTGACTTGTAATATGAATATAAATAACAAAGGCAGCTAAAAGGCTTAAAAATTGTATTGTTCTTATTTTTAACCCTAGTTCCCGATAACCCGGCATTTCAGAAACTTGGCAGCCTTCGAGTCCACATTACGCCGAGTTTGCGGGACTCTACTGTACCTAGGTTTACTTATACGGGGAAAGTAAAAGTGTTTTTGACCAAATAATAATAGTATTGGACAAAATAAATAAATTTGCCAAATTTGATCAACATACATCCATAAACAAGCAAGCTACAACAGTTTATTCATTCTCCATAAAGAATAACATGGGAATTTTAAATGTATATTTTTTAAATTTTCTCCGTAATGTTTCATTTTACAAACGCTTAAATATGCAAAATTAATCGGTTTTTAATCTCTACAAGATGGCCGTGATGAAAATCAAGCATGGGTAAATAAAAATACCCCCGCCGCAGCAAACCTGCAGACTAAGCGAATTTCCATTTGACTGATTGGATTTACACTGAAATGTCTACTTAAAAATATAACACTTATTCCCGATTTAAATAGAATTAGTTTTAACAAGTACTTAGGTTTGCTGCATCAGGGAGGGTAAAACTGTTTTTTTTTTGTAAAATGTTAATAGTTAGTAATAAATAAAAACATTTTCCAAATTTGATCAAAATATGTTCATAAACAAGCAAACTACAACAGTTTACTTATTCTCCACAAGAATAACATGGGAATTTTAAATTTACAATTTTTTGGAATTTTCTCTGTAACCATTAGGCGCATAATAGCGCTTCAATATACTAAATTATTTGTTTTTTTAAGCACTAAAAAATTGCTAAATTTTATGTTTTTTGGGTTAAAAATGGGAAAAACCTATTTTTACCCCATAAAACCCCCCGTAAACCCCCGTTCCCATGGTCCGATCATGCTGGATCGCGAACTCGTTCGAATAAACGTAGGTTTACACGTTTGTACCAAATTTCATCAAAATCGGATCATTTTTGCTCGAGTTATCAGCTAAGAGACATATATATATATATATATATATAAATATATATACAGGGTGATTGATATAAGTGTGCCAGCCGTTTTATTCGAAAACCATAAGAGTTATAAAAAAACGTTAAATGGTAAGTGCCTTGGATTTTTTTATTTAAAAAATTTTAGTCAAGTCGAAAAAAATGTTTTAGCCGCCATTTTTCTAATATGGCCGCCAACTGTGATTTTTCTTATGGAACACCCCGTATTTTATGATGTATTCCGGTAGAAAAAGTAATTTTAAGACGTGAAATTTTAAATAGTTTTCGAATTAAACAACTGGCATGCTTGCTTAGGCCTTTATCAAAACTCTTTCTCATGCCGAAATTTCAAAACTTTAACCAATATTATCTGTGAAACGGTTAGGTTTATGAAAAAAGTCACAAGAATAAAATCGTCTTAAAATTACATTTTCTACCTGGATACATATAAAATACAGAATGTTCCATAAGAAAAATCACAGTTGGCGAAATAAAAAATCCAAGGCGCTTTCTATTTAACTTTTTTTATATCTCTTATGGTTTTCAAAGAAAACGGCTGGCACACTTATATCAATCACCCTGTATATATGAATTTGAACGGATGGTGTTTTTGGCCTCTAGGGACCACAAAACGAAAAAAAAAATCGGTCCCGCGTCCAGGTCTTACCATGAGTACTACGGTAATTAAATAGCTTATTCCCTATATGGGAAATTCGCTAAAACTAAACTTTTAAAAATTTCAAAACCCTATAATACCCTGTTTCCATTATGATCTTACTAGTTAGCTAACTCATTGAACCCCCCCCCCCAACATTTGCCCCCCATTGAACCCCCCCCTACACCTTTAAGGCAAATTTCATCAAAATCGGACAAAAATTACTCAAGCTCACATTTACAGACACATATATTAATCTGTTTTATGCTACATACATATACAGTAGGCCTAAACCTTCGATAGTTCGACACGGGCTGAGCTATTTTGCCAAGTGATATTTAATGGTTACTATTGTAATAAGATGACTTGAACATTAATTTGTCATTTATTGTTGACTTGAGACTTAACTAATAAACAGTGAAATTAATTGTTAAGCTTTTTAGTATTTAATAAATTAGGGTGATTTCTATATAAGACTTTTGTTTTTACTTTCCTGTATATTAAACTCCATTTACTCCCTATAGTTCCATATTTTGATAGTTCATGCGCAATCGTCAACACATCCCGTGGTCACAGCGCCAGTGCGAACATCTCCTGCGATCACTACACAATTGCCACATAATTGTTGTACATAATTGTTTTGTTGTCTCACAGTGTGTTCGTCAACACAGCCCGCGATCATAGCACCAGCACAAACACCTCCCACAATCACGACACAATTGTCAACATATCTTACGCTCGCGGGCAATCGTCAACTCATCCTGCGGTCACAGTACCAGCGCAAACGTAGTCTTTATTACTTTCCATGTTATCCGACCTTTTCGCTTATCCTATCGAGACTCTAATATAGCCACTTCCCTACAAGGAAATTTGGAAAACTGAACATTTAAAAATACCCCTGCCGCAGCAAACCTGCAGACTAAGCGAATTTCCATTTGCCTAAATGGATTTACACTAAAATATCTCCTTAATATCTCATTTTCCCTATTTAAATAGCATTATTTAACGAGTACTAAGGTTTGCTGCAACAGAGAGGGTAAAAAAGTTATCTTTTGTGAAATGTTAATATGTAGGCTAGTTTAGTATGAAATAAATTTATTTTTCAAAATTGATTAAAATATGTTCATAAACAAGTAAACTACAATAGTTTACATATTCTCCATAAGAATAACATGGGAATTTTAAAATAGGTTTTTCCCATTTTTAACCCAAAAAACATAAAATTTACCATTTTTTGGAATTTTCTTCATAACCATAAGGCGCCTAGTAATGCTTCAATATACTAAATCATTTTTTTCTAGCTCTACAAAATGGTTTGGAAATAAATTGTTTTGATGCTTTAATGTTTTGGGATAAAAAATGGGAAAAACCAACTTTTACCCTATAAACCCCCGTTCCCATAGTCCGATCATGCTAGATCGCGAACTTGTTTGAATAAATGTAGGTTTACATGTTTATACCAAATTTTATCAATATCGGATAATTTTTGCTTGAGTTTTATTGCCAACGGACACATTATAATATGAATTTGAACAGATAATGTTTTTGGCCTCTAGGAGACTCAAAACGAAAGAGTAAAATCGGTTCCGGGTCGATAGGGTTGCCATATCCCCGGATTTCCCTGGAGATTACCGGATTTTGACGTTTATTTAGCTCCGGAGGATTTCTGCAAAAAGTGAGAAATCTCCTCTTTTTTACTACACATTTATAAAAATACATTATAAAACGGCACTTTTGGAATAAAACTAATTTTTGTGTTCTCAAATATCATTATGCTTGACTGAAAAATTAAACTCTCGTACTCTTTACTAACTTTTTTTGTTCCTTTGTTTCACTTTGTCCAGCAACGTCCATAGTTTATCATCTGTTTCATTGCTCCCGGTCCTTAAATTTGCGTCTGCTGGCCAGTCCCAAGGTATCAGTATTCACTACCAAAGCCAGAACCGAGTCTTGCAGACAGAGAGCGTTTTGTTTACGCATTTTTACTTAGTGAGATGTGACAAGCAAGGTGCAAGATTTCTTAACCTAGTACTCTACCAATTTGAGAGGGTACCAAATTTGAATATTGACAATGTAGCACGAATATTAAACAGAAATGGTATGGATTAATAAACATGAGCAAATTACATCACTGGTCCAAATTTCTATACTAATAGCCGTAACAGCGTGTTTGGACGTTTTTTGACAGTTCCATTTTTAAATATTAATAAAAACGTGTTTACTTTCGGACCAGAGGCATAATTTTGTTTACGTTTATGACCCAAAACCTTTTCTGTTATAATATCTGTGCAATGTAGGTATACAATACTGTTAACCCGTTAATTGTATCCACTATATTGGGGGCCATCAGCTAAAATCTCTTCTTTTTTTACAAATTACTATATGACAACCCTACGGGTCGAGGTTTTACGATAAGACCTACAGTAATATCTTATTCCCTATATGGGAAATTCGCTAATATTCCCTATATGGGAAATTTGCTAAAAAACTGCAACCAATATTATTTTTACGAGGAAAAATTAACTGTTGTAGATGGATTGTTTTTTTATATATATTTTGATTAAATATGTCAAGTTTATTTCAAAATTGCAAAAATCTATTAACATGTCACTAAAAAATATGTTTAACATCATGTCATTTGAAAAAGGGAAAATTCTATTCCCATATCGGACTTAGAGGAGTTGCTACTATCGTCGATCTTGGCGACCGCACAGTGCATGTGCTGCAAATGCTGAGCCCCAACATTCCGCTAGTCAAACAATCTTGTGCTTAAACTAGCCATATTACACCGTGAAACTTGGCTTGCGTGCATTGTGTCACGTGCGTCTCAGCATACGCCCGGCCTAACACACATATAAAATTTATTAGATAAGATGATATTGCTACAAATAATTACTCTCTGCTGCAAAATGGTAAAAGAGTTATGATGACAATTTTTCACTGTTGAAGGCTGAAGGTATGGTGGATAGAAAGGTACATTTTACTTTTCGTATCTGAAGTAAATAGTTACTCAAACTGAGACACAAACGATGGTCAAAATAAATGGGACAGCTACTAAAAATAAAAGAAAACATTTTTGGAACAGAAACTCCATTTAAATAAATAAATAAATACAACTTATATCTAGTTGTATCTTATAGTTGTATCTATATATATAACGATGGTACATTAGTATTTTATTTTTGAGTTTATTTTTATCAGAAAATATATGTTCATTCTCAATGTGGTTAAGGTATATATCAGCCAAAATTCCAGATAATGGAGACCCCATGGCTAGTCCATCACATTGTTTGTAAAAGTTCTTGTTGAAAGTGAAATAGTTTTGATTAAGTATTTCCTTAAGTAGAACTATTATTTCATTTACTGCCTCTGGTAATAAATCGGAATCGGATAATAACTTGTTTTCAATGATGGTTAATGTTTTGTTGACAGGGACGTTGGTGTATAAATTTACAATGTCGAAAGATGCCAACGTTGAATGCATTTTTATGTTTGTATTTTTTGTCTTGTTGATAAAGTCGTAAGAATTAATTAAACTGTAGTTATTTAAAAACTTAAAGTACGTTTTCAAAATCTGTTCTAGCTTTTTAGCAACTTTGAAGGCTGGTGCTGTTGTGTAATTGACTAAAGGTCTGATTGGTACACCGTCCTTATGGATAAGCTCATTCACAAACATAAATCAAAAGCCAGTAAATCTGAGTTCACAAGAAAGGACAATGAGAAGTATGTTTGCGTTGAATACAGTAACATTCTGCATAACGGCCTATCCAAACAATTGAAAAAACATGGTATAAATCTATCCTTCAGAACAACTAATCGTTCCGTAAATATTTTAAACAATTCAACCAGATGTGGTGATAAATATGACAAATGTGGTGTATATAAATTAACTTGTGCCAGTTGTCCTAGCACGTATACTGGGCAGACAGGTAGAGATTTCAATACTAGATACAAGGAGCATAGACCAGATCCTCGTAATACAAAACAAAAATCATCGTTTGCTCAGCATTTGGTCGATAAAAACCATGATATGAACGATATTAGTAAAGGCCTTGAAATCCTACATATTTGCCAAAAGGGAAGCAGACTTAACACTCTCGAAGAATTCGAAATTTATAAGGCACAGGTTAATGAGAACAACAATTTTGAGAGCGTAATTCTGAATGAAAAACTTAAATTCAAATCCCATCACATTTTCAATAGCATATTAAAACAAAGGCAGAGTTCGACGCCCATTGGTCAGCAGTCCACATCAGCTGATAAGACAACACCGAACCGACACAACTAGTCCAGTCTGCATCCTGACCTTGACAACGGTGTGCGTGCGTCCTGCCCGTGTATTTAATAGGCCTATTTAAAGTTTTATTCGTTTTTCGTAATGTTTTCGTCCCGTCCGTGTGTATGTGTTTGTGTATGTACTTTTAGTAGAAAACAATGACAAGGATTTCACCATCCAACTGCAACGTTTTGACAATGGCCGATACAAGCCGAAACATGTAAACGACCTTCAATTAAAATGAGCTGTTTGTCGGATTTATAAGGTATGTAACCTATTTATTATATTTTTTATCTTCTATTAAAACGAATTTTAAGCCTGATATCAATTTTGTTAACTACACTAAAATCGATTGTCAAAATTATGGATGAATATGATACTAGTAGTTTCTTTTATTTGAAAACATGATACATTAAACTGATTCATTGAATTATATTTTAAAACCCTCTTTAACCCCAAGATGGAGCAGAATTGTCAACATTTACAAATACATGATGTGTTTTATGGTTTTGAATGTGTGCAGGAAGTTGATTATGAGAACATTGCTGTCAACACTTTTATCTGATAGTTTCATAGGAAGGTCATAAAGCAATTTATAAAATATTGAAAGTGTAAGTGACTGGTTTTCTAGTCGGTAGAGTGGTGAAAACAAACAGAGCCAGAAACTAAAATATTTATTGAAAGTGCTTCAGTGGTCATATTATAAGAAAGATTATGACAGCGCCAAGGTAAATATATACTACTAGATTAACATACAGACTGTACGCTACTATCATCAATTCTCAAGAAGCAGCTAATGTCAGTTAATTAATTTACATGTTGTTGATGATAAGGAAGAATCTTCAATGCAGTGTAAACTATTATGATAAAATATGGGTGGTACTACTTACGGATACTGAAGTCTTTAAAACCAGAAACATCTACATTCTTTTCATTCTTGAAAACGGCTTTCTCAATTTTACTTTGTGGGCTTCCAGTCAGTTGAAGCCATTTTTTCCTAAACAAGAATTTTTCTAAATAATAGTGTAACAGATTAACAATACGTGAATATTAGATGACTCGACAAACTTATTTGAGTTATAAGTTATATACTTTAGCATAAAAATAGTTTAGTAGTTCAACAATAGACAATAGACAATAGCCAATCAACTTTACTCATTGTTGTGACTTGCCCCTGAACTTGTAAGACAAATATAAAATAATAATGGTTTAGTTACCTTTACTTTTGTCCCAGTTCAATAAAAAGTTGTAATATCTACAACCATGGTTTCGACGCTAGTTGCATCATGGTCAAAACTAGCAACTTGCGTCGAAACCATGGTTGTAGATATTACAACTTTTTATTGAACTAGGACGAAAGTAAAGGTAACTAAACCAATATTATTTTATACAATCATCTTTCTTGACATGTTCATTGAGAGAACAGTACATGCGTCAGAATAATAACTAAAATTTGTGGATTTAATATGTTGTTAATTGGTTCTTGAAACGGTGAGTTTGTTTATTTCTTTTCCTACAGTTACCTAACAATGTACATGTTCTATCACTGATTTGAGAAAGCAAAGTGGCCAATTCGCTCATCAGTGAGACAATGTTAACATTGTCTCACTCACTCTAATTACTTTGTCTCACTCCAGATTTGCAACATGAAGACAAGAAAGTGGCCAATTCGCTTATCAGTGAGACAATGTTAACAGAGAAATCCTTACTCGCGAACCGTAGGCGAGCCATATAATCTCACTTTGCTCACTAGTTGCACAAATAACTAAAGTTGAATAAATAAATAAACATGTCCCGACATGAAAAAATAACATGTCCAACATTAGAACAATCTTGTTTCCTAATTGCAAGGCAGTTCTAAGTATTTATTCAATCAACATCTTAACAATGAATAGGGATCTATATTTATTTAAATCAGCAGTTTATCTTGACAAATTGATTTACAGAGGGATATCTACAAAGTGTGTTTTTGATACAAACTTTCAAAAAAAATCCCAAAACAAAAACGCTTTACAGTAATACTAATTAGAGCTGTAAGACTGTGTGCATAAATGTATAATATGTATTGAGGTGGTGACCTCGGGATTTCAATTCACGGGGTATGCCCTACCCTCTTGCCCAGTAAAATTAAATAGCCTAAAATGAGTTTTGTAGTTACATATTAGCTTTAAAATGTTGTATTGCATTATAAACTAAATTTTGACATTGTAAAAACCAAAACATTACAATTAATTATTACACTATATTATCCCTTTCAGATCCGGGAATCTTAGTCATCTCGACCGCTTTAAGTCCTGAGCAAATTTTGAATAAATGTTGGGTTTTAACCTAGATTTCAAATACTAAAATTATTGATTAGGTTTGTTTTAAAGACAAAACCTTCATAATACCATATTAACCATTTCAGTTTCAGCAATAATTAGCATTATATACGTTTAAAAACCTAACCTTAACAGTAGCCTCTTTCTCCTATCTTACCGTGACATTGCAACAAAACAATCAGTATAAGACATGAAGGCAGACTGCAAAACAAAAATTCCTAGCTGATCTCCATAACCTAAACAATCGATGTGTACAGGTCTGAGCAACAGAAAGATCCAGAAACTTAAAAAAAACAAATAAAAATTAAAACCTACACAATCGTGTTGGTTAGGTTGTTGTTGTGGTTTGATTGACTTAAAAATTTACCTACACAAATGAGTGTGCTGGGTCTGAAAGGATTAGGCAGGGGGTCCACCCTGATATTTTGGGAAGGGGGGAGGTCCAACCTCCCAATCCCCCTTCTGGGACTCGCACTGATGTATTGATGAAATTTATATTGATTGCCAACATTTTTTGGGAGTTTCAGGCTTTATACAGTGTTTAACGAGTACTGCCATTGCCTGGTATACTTCATAATGGCCTAACATGGTACTACATTAGCAGAGTGGTTATAGTGCTCGCCTTGAAATCTGAATTTTGCTGGGTCCTTCCTATCCCGGTTGGGATCGATTCTGGACCCTGATGCTTTGTTTTCGCCCGGGCTGTCAATTATGTAATCTATTCTTAATCTATCTTAACAATTTGTTAAGAGAACTAGTCCTGTGGTTCATATTCACCTTATGGTTGCTAGGTTCTTGAAATTGTGGGTACTCATATGCCAGTTCAAGAACCTATGGCAGTATCCGTATGACAGTTTAAACACCTGACAACCCTAAGGTAAACTCACATTAATAAGACTGGGCTACACATATTAAAAAGCTTTTAAATTATTATGCTATCTAATATGTTGGTGAAATTAAAGTTAATGAAAGAATAAATTGTTGTAAACTCTTTTTATTGTCTTACAAACACAACACTACACTGAATTATATTTAGTAAACAAGTGCATATGTAAATTATAAAAACATATGATGGTCCGTCACTAATCCAGACTAGATGAGTTGGGTTGCAATATTCAACATCCCCCCTCACCCAACTTAGCTAGGTAAAAGTCCTAGGCACTTTTGAAATTTGTGATGTTTTGGTTCGCTTAGTCCTTTAGTAAAAATATCAGCAACCATGTATTCTGTGGGTTTGTAGTTCAATTTTATTTCTCCATTTTGTACTTTTTCCCGTATAAAATGTTCTCTGATACTGATATGTTTAGATTTACTTCCTATGATGGAGTTTTTAGCCATTGTAGGCCTAATAGCTGATTGGTTATCACAAAATATTTCAATGACTTCTTGAGGTCTTCCCATATCATTAATTAATTGTTTTAGATGAATGGCTTCTTTTGCTGCTTCAGTCAATGACATGTATTCCGCTTCACTCGTAGACAGAGCTACAGTCCTTTGCTTTTTTGATTCCCAGGAGATTGCAGCACCGCCAAATTTAAAACAGTAGCCGGTGTATGATCTCCTGTCTTCACTGCATGCCCAATCTGCATCTGCTGCTCCAATTAATGGCTTTCCTGTTTTGAAAAATTCAAGACACAAGTTCTTTGAGCCTTGCAAATATCTGAGAACCCTCTTTGCAGCAATCCAGTGTTCTTTTCCAAAACAAGAGTTATATTGGCTCAGGTAACTCATAGCATGTGTTATGTCAGGTCTTGTGGCTATTGACAAATACATCAATGAACCGATTAAATTTTGGTATGGGTAGTTACAATCTTTTTCATGTCCTTTAACCAATTTTAGACCTGGTGTTAGTGGAGTTACAGCTGGTTTGCAGTCAGTCATATTGAATTTTTTTAGGACTTCATTTATGTATTTCGTTTGTGACATTGATATCCTTCCATTCTTTCTTGTGAACTCTACCCCCAGACAATAGCTTAGTTCACCTAAATCTCTCATTTCAAAAGTTTTCATGAGCTGGGTTTTGATGTAATTGCGGTATTTTTGGTTCTTCGTAGCAATTAAAATGTCATCTACATATACAGAGATTATTGATTTGCATCCACCTACTGTTGAAATGTATATACAAGGATCAGCTTGAGATGGTGTGAATTTCAGTTCCTTTAGTTTTTCATCAAGCTTCATATACCACTGACTTCCTGATTGTTTTAAACCATAAACTGCCTTTTTTAGTAGACAAACCTTTTTGTTTTGAGAATTTTTTAAGTCAGTAATCATTTTCTTTGTTTTGTTGAATAGTTTTTTATCTTCATTTTCACTCTCATCCACCATTATTTCTTGGAGGTATCTCTCAAAGTTGTTAGGAAGTTCCATGTAAACTTTTTCTTTTATTTCTCCATTTAGAAAAGCAGTTGAAACGTCCATTTGATCAATACTTAGATCATCTTCAACAGCAAGTCCAAGCATAAGTCTTATTGAACTTAGCTTTGCTACCGGAGCAAAAGTTTCATCGTAGTCAATGCCTGGTTTTTGTGCAAATCCTTTTGCTACCAATCGTGCTTTTCTTCTTTCTAGCTCTCCATTTGGTTTTAGTTTCTTCTTTAATACCATTTTACAACCAATTACATTAATTTCTTTGTTTCTATCCTCAAGCTCCCAAGTTTCATTTTTTAAATGAGCTTTTATTTCCTCTTTTATTGCTTCATTCCATTCCTCTGAAGATTCTAAAGTTGAATCTTCATTGCAGGTAGCTGACATTTGAAAATCTTTTGTCCAAAGAGGAGGTTTTCTTTGCCTTTTCTGATGTTCATTTGAGCTTAGTGAGTCATCAGGTTGATTTTCAATATCTGAGCTTGGTGAATCATCAGGTTGATTTTCAATATTATCTTCGAAAAAAATATCATTTTCCATTTCACTGTCATTTTCTTCTTCAAATATAGTGTCAAAATCAGACTGGTCATCATTATTTTTGCTCTGTTTGATCGGAATAATGCAAAAATCTTGATCATTTTTATCACTTTCTTTTATTTTATTTTGCTCAAGAAGATTGTAATCATTTACATTTTCATTTCTTTCATAATACATTTTTGAAAGAACTTTTACATCTCTTGCAATTTTAACCTGCTTTTGTTGTGGCATCCAAATTCTGTATGCTTTTGAATTGCTTGCATACCCCACAAATATTCCTTGCTCCGCTTTTGGATAAAATTTTCCTTTTCTTGAAGCTTTGTTTAATACAAATACTTTTCATCCAAATACTTTCAAGTGTCTTGCTGAAGGCTTTCTTCCAGTCCATTTTTCATATGGCGTTAAGTGTTCAGTAGCTTTTGAAGGGCATCGATTTCTTATATAGTTAGATGTGTTAATAGCTTCAGCCCACATACATCCTGGTAGATTTGATTCTATCAGTAAACATCTTGCCATATCCAATAATGTTCTATTTTTTCTTTCAGCCAAACCATTTTGTTGCGGTGTGTATGGAACTGTTAGTCTTCGCCTTATACCACTTTCTTTCAAGAACTTGTCAAATTCACCATTACAATATTCTTTGCCGTTATCTGTTTGCAGAAACTTGATTTTATTTCCTGTTTGATTTTCCACCTCATATTTATATTCTTTGAAACGTTCAAAAATTTCGTCTTTACTTTTCAAAAAATATACATAGCAGTATCTTGAATGTTCATCAATGTTCCAAAATACTTATTTCCTCCAGGTGTAGTTACTTTCATAGGACCTACAATGTTAGAATGTATGACTTCTAACAAGCCTACATTATTTGCAATCTTTCTTGATTGAAACGGTGTTTGTGTCAATTTTCCTTTAATACACGTTTCACATTCTCCAATTTTGTCTTTCATGTTGAAGGTTAATCCATTCAAAGATTCATTTTTTAAAGCTGTTTTTAAGTCAACCTCATTTAGATGACCTAACTTCTTATGCCAATCTATGATCTCAGGTTCTTTTGTATAGTTTGATTTTTCATTTACCATTATAGATTTTGTACTTTTGACATAATAAAGACCACCCTGACGTTCTGCTGCCACAATTAAATTTCCTCTTTGGTTTTGGACGACAGCTTTCTCTTTTTCAAAAATCACTTTAAATCCTTTATCTGTTATTTTACTGACACTCATTAGATAAGTTGCCAAGTCTGGTACAAATAGAGTGTTATTCAAATGTATGATTTCAGAATTTTTTAATTCCAGCGAAACCGTTCCTGTTCCAGAAACGTCAGATGTCTTTGTTGAATATTGCAACCCAACTCATCTAGTCTGGATTAGTGATGGACCATCATATGTTTTACATTGTACATATGAAGTTGTTTACAAAATATAATTCAGTGTTGTGTTGTGTTTGTAAGACAATAAAAAGAGTTTACAACAATTTATTCTTTCATTAACTTTAATTTCACCAACAAAAATTGTTATAAACTCTTTTTATTGTCTTACAAACACAACACTACACTGAATTATATTTAGTAAACAAGTGCATATGTAAATTATAAAAACATATGATGGTCCATCACTAATCCAGACTAGATGAGTTGGGTTGCAGTATTCAACATAATAAAGGTCAAAGTTAGATATTAACAAAACCAGAATTTGAATTGTTCCCTTAGTACATTGTTTAAAAAACACCAAAACTTAGAACAACGCAAGTAATATTAAAGACTTTTTTAAGTATAGGCAATTAAAGGTAGTTTTAGACAAACTGTTGCTCATGGATAAAAACTTAACTGCAACACTTACATCTCTTCAATCTGTTTCTGGTCTCCCTCCATAACCCCCGTGACTGTGCCTTCATCTGTGTTCATACACCATCCTCGCAGTCCTAGCTTCTTGGCCTGACCTTGGGTATACTGTACAATCCCACATTGATATCAGAGTTATGTACTCCATTAACAATTTGAAAGTTGCAGAAGATATACTACACAATTTATCAGCATCAGAGCTGAATATCTTGTTTCAGTTTTTGAATCAGTGCCTTGGGACAATTTAAAATGTTTCTTGTAAATACAAAAAATATAACTTAGTATGAAAATAGTTCCGTTGTGAGCAAATATAACGTTTTCAACATCACTTAACTTGTTGTCCTTAGTCTACATATGGAACAATTTGAACTTTGTTAGGATTCTACCTAAAACCAAAAGCAAAAGGACTGTGGTCAAAGACCCAAGTCTTATTATTAAAACTACAGTAATAGCCGATTCTATTTAAAGAAATTTGCTAAATTAATCCCTTTTTACTAATCAATAACTATCCAACTTTGTGGTAGGCTAGACGAATGTTAAAACTAATGGATTTTACCATACAGGTTATTTAAGTTGTTCATAAGACCCAATGTACACAACAGGGCCGGATCTACAAAATATGGGCCCCCCTGCAAAAATCCTCCAAGGGCCCCTAGAGCTGGCATCAATAGCAGGGAGGCCTTATTTGCGAGAGGGGGGGGGGGAATGTTTAAAATATAGCTAGCTGAAACTGAATTTTAACGCTATTTTAAAGATAAAATATTGATCCTGTTTGTAAAAAAACGTTTTCGTTAAAAAGCGTAATTTTGTAAATTTTTGAACTAAAAAAACAGCAAACTTCAAATAAAGCTTTTTTATTCTTATGTCAATAGGATTTCTTATTCTTTCAAATAGGTTTACAAATTATAAAATACATATTGTACAAAAAAAGTGAAAGGTTTTACATAAAGAATTTCAAGCATAAATAATAATGTAAAATAATAAACAAACGACTCAATTTAAACTTAGTTTCTTTAATCTTTTTACACTATATTTTCAAGATAGATAGGCCTACATACAAATCATGGTTCCAGAGGGTGGGGCAGACGGGCCAAAGCCCCGGGGGCCCTGGGCTCTGAAGGGGGTCCGGCCTGGTCAAATGTGAAATCTTTTCTGTACATGTAATCTGCTAAAATCTTTGATTTTAGCATGGTTTTTCAGTTCACATATTAATTTTTTAGGGGAATAAAGTTGCAACTATGAGCAAGAGAATTAATCAAACTATCATGCGTTTTAGATATATTGTTAAATGTTTAACAAAACGGCACGGAGGCAGCTAGACACTAAATCGTGAAAATAGGGGACCCGAGATCGCTCAGCCCAGATGCCCGTGATGGCTCTCGCCGGCCCTAAGGTCGTTAGATAACGCTACAGAGGTTATTATAAGTCCCGCCTGTACTACTACAGACTTATTGCTCAGCTCAACTGATAGTTGACTAAGTTGACACTACGTCCACGTCGATCGGACTGTAGTGGATCTGTGAAGCGTGCACTGCAACTGATGAGCTGACTGGACTGAGCTGAGCATACAGACTGGACTGACTGAAAGTGACAGTAAACCACAGATTAAACTGTCTACGGCGAGGTCCCGAGTTGTTGACGAGTAAAATCAGTAGGTCTAAATTTACTCAATAATTGTAACTTTAGCTTTGATATTGACAATATTTGTCTGTCAAAACTAAACTTACCGTCCTATTCAATTATGTTTATATGCATTAAAATAATTTTAAATTATAGAGCTCTTTGGGCCCCCTAAGGGCTTGGGCCCCCCTGCATTGCGGGGTTTCGCGGTTCCTAGATCCGGCCCTGGTACACAACAATAACAGGTACTAGAATAGGATTGTAATTCATATTGGACCTACTTAACTCCGCCTATATTAATTTCAATTCCATTTTTAGTTAGAAATGAGTCATAGAGAATAAAATATATGTTTAACTTAAATGAATATTTGGTACATAATATAATATATATTTCACTACGGCAGCCTTATTTTTTTCACCATGGGTAGTGTGCCCTTTATGGCATTCAGATTCAAGACCGAACATTTATTTGGCAAACTACTAACCAGATTAAAATTTACTTGAACAAAAAAACAATTTGAAAGTATCTTGAGTCTATAGAACATTAAAACTAGTCAAACTAAATTTTTAAATGGTTTTATGTAAAACTACTACAGGCTATATTTTATAACTTAACCTAATGTATGTACCTACAAATAATATAGTATAGCAGTAGGCCTAATAGTAAACTAGAAATTCAGATTTGTTGTTCAGATTTGTTGCTGATCATAAAAAATTAATATTTTTTGATACTAGAGGTACAAGATAAACTAGGCTAAATTACATACTATGCAACACACAGCTTCTTACCTTTCTAAAGAAAACCCCTGGAAAAATAAAAATGCATTAGAGTGTTAGTTTTTATGTGGGGTACCTACAAAATAACTTAAATTAGATGACCTTTGCTGTTGATGCCTGTGTTCTTGATAGGTAAGATATTTGTATGGTGACACGGCAACAACAACACACGTGATCTAATAAAATTCTTGTTCTTGAAACTGGGGTGAAAAAATATAAAAATGAATTAGTCCTGATTAAGAAGGGGTAGATTGTTTAGTGGAAAAAACAATTGTTTCATTGTCAATATTAAACAAAGATTAACATTTTCATTAAGATGAAAAAAAGATAAAATTTTCATTAGTGATTGGTATCTTGACCAAAAAATTTAACGATAGAAATTCACCCGAGGTGTGTAAGGGACTTAGTATAGGCTAAATAAGTTTACGTAAGTAAAAGGTAAATAAAAGTTAAGGTACCGTATTATAGGTTTTTTCTATTTTAAGAATTTTACCCCAACTAGGATAAGTTAGCTGTTCTTAAAAAAAAAACCTTGGCTGGTTCCATGTTCCATGTCTTTCACTGTTAAACATGTTAAATAAAATTAATTTATTGTTATCACTAACATTTTTAAACTTGTTACCATTTTCTTTGTCCTGAGTGCTCATTCCTATATAACTGTTTTGAAGTATACAGAAATAAACTTGATATTAATATTGCATAAGTACAACCGTTGACTTTGTCTATTTCATTATTGTAAAATGTTTACAGACAGTAAAGATGAATTCTGATTCTATATCGATAAATATCCGATTCAATATAATGGTCCTATGTTTTTTTTGTTTTTTTGACATCGAAATTGAGCTATGGTTTTTTATGATTTTAAACAATAATATATTAATATATTACCAATATACAATTAAATATTTTATGGGATTATTTAAAACCATATCGATAATGACGATAAAAATAAAATCAATAACAAAATATTAAAGAAGCTTTTTATGTATATTTTATCCTTAATTAATTATATCCTAAGTAATTACGATTAAAAATGGAGAAAACAATAAATTTTATAATCCTATAATATGCAGTTATCATATTTATAGTATTAAATTCTGTGTTGATTTTCTAAAATAACATTGTTTGAAAAGCAAAATCATAGGCTTTAGTTCGTTTATCATAGTTTGTAGTTTTATTAGTTGTCGTTGTTTTTTTTTTCATTCAATATTTATTATTTTTGGTAGTATATTATTCTTCGTGTTGATTAACTATCAATAAAATCGTAAACAAATCATAACTCAACTCAATGTTTACACGGTGAAAAAAAAATTGGACCAATATATTGAATCGAATAATTATCAATATAGAATCAGAATCAATCTTTATTGTCTGTAAACATTTTACAAAAATGTAACTTAATAGAAAAAGCCAATGGTTGTACTAATAACTTACAATTATAAGTTACTAGCAGAGTACCCGTCCTTCGTACGGGGTTGGCATATAAGTATCAAATGCTTATAGCAGTTATGAGTGAGGACATGGTTTAAGAAATTTAGGTTCTTTTTGAAGTTTGTTCGCTACGCTCACTCACCTTTAGGTTGGAGCTCGTTCGCTGCGCTCACTTTCCTTCAGGTTAGCTCGTTCGCTACGCTCACTTGCCTTCAGGTTAGCTCGTTCACTACGCTCACTCGCCTCCAGGTTGAAGTTCGTTCGCTACGCTCACTCACCTTTTGCTGTTGTCATAAATGTAAAAGAAATAATAGTGCTAGTGCTGCACCCTGTTGGTAATCCTTGTAACTTTAATGCTATTGAACATCACAGAACAGAACCAACTTGTTTAATTGAAACAGCTGTTAAGATTCAATAATTTCATTTCTCATAAGGTTAACATGGGAAACTCCAGAGCCACTGGGGCGGAGCCCGAAAGGATTTTTGGGATAAAAATATGCCTATATGTTAATCGGGAATGTGAGCTATCATCATGCCAAATTTCAGCCCGATCCGACCAGTAGTTTTCGCGTTTACTTTTCCCATACACACACACAGACACCACCTCTTTTTTATAATAGTATAGATAAACTTCAAAATAGTTGAATAGGAATGAGCATTCAGGAAAGAGAAAATGGTAGAGCCTAACAAGTGTAAAAAAAATTGAGTGATAACAATAAATTAATATTTAGGCCCCTATTACTGTAATAAGTTTAACAGTGAAAAACAGAATCAACATGGAACCAGCCAAGGTTTTTTTAAAGAACAGATAACTTAGCCTAGTCGGGGTGAAATTCTTAAAGTAAAAACATCAATAACATTTAAAAACGACTAGTCAATAATACAATTTTTCCAAGATAATAATCTTGTGCAGATATAACTTAAGTTATAACGTTATTCATCCGATAATATATCACAAGTTGCCAGGTTCTCTAGGGGACTGTACCCAATAATAGGCATAGCGAATTTTTAGTTACAGTTGGATTTTTTTAGTTAGAAGCGGTTAAGGTGTGGTGGAATATCTTTGAAGATGAACCTTTTTGGCTGTAGTGTGATCATGTGTTCATACATGTCAACTTTTGAGGTTAGCCTAAACAAAACAAACAAAGTGCATGTTGTCAAAAATTAATTATGGGCCGTGCCGTGTTATATTATTTATGAAAAATGCTAATTTAAGATAAAATGAATTAATTTAGTACCTATATTTCATTGTCTAATTTATTAGTAAACATTCAGTATTTAGGCTACTACATTTTACAAACCAACCAAACTCGAATCTTGATTCCCTTGGCCTATCGTTTAACGTTATACGGTTAGGTACCTGGTGAACTTATTTTAAGTTATTGCATTAGTGAATTATTAGCAATACAATTCTCAATTAGCAGTTAATTATAATTTAAATTAGTCAAAACGTTAGTCTATAAAGGTTTATCTCGTCATCTCGAAAACTTCAACTGGCCCCTAACCTGAAACCCTTAAAAAGGTGGATCTTTATTTTATATGTTAAGAGATTTCCGAATTAAACGTAAATTATCATTATGTCCCGACAGTTTATCATGTGAATCCCAGTCACAGCAACCACATTATTCTATTAACTTAATACAGTAATCAACAATAATTTTGGAAGAAAATTCTATATTTTAATATTTGATCATGTTTCATTTTTTTCAAAGCAACCCTCACTTATAAAATTTAGAGACAATAATAACACGAGCTCGTTGGGGTTCACAAGCTCGGGACTTTATAGTCCGTGACCAGACGTTGGTCCCGGACTATATAAGCGACGACCAAAAAATGGGTTCACGAGTCAGAGCCTAATGATGTGAAAGCCGTGCTTATTGTTGGTCGAGACCAAATCCGAAGCGGAGCCTAATGACAAGGATTCGCAGGGAATTTTTGTTTGAGAGGTTGGTAATAACAGTCTGGAAACACATGTGAAGCCACTGGTGCTGACATACGCACTTCCATACAATAGGATGATCGTGAAAAAAGGCTGAACCAAAACGTCCAAAACGATTATTTTTCGCGTATTTTATTGCCTCAATGCTTGCCTATAATAATCTATCAAAGTTTATTGATTTATAAACACAACAAGCCACGTTTGTATGAAATCAGATAATGGAAGTCCTTAGTGAAATATATTTTTCTGTGTGCATTATTGTAATTCAATTATGATGCATGACATAACTGGATGAATGCCTATTTTGCATAAATGCCCGATAATTTAGGTTGGTGATTTTTGAATAGGCTAATTTTAACTTAGGCCTAACTTATTTAAATGGTACAATTCTTGAAACTAAAATGTATTTAGAGGTACTGACTATTTAGATACCTATAAAAATCGTATGCGTGTGCTGTTCTTTAATCGTGGTTGTAACCTAAGAATATTCTTTCCATTATTCTTACATTCTTTATTAATCTAGCTGTAAAATGTTTAAATAATATTCTGAAGTTCGCCCGTAATATTATTTACAGCTATGGTTTTTTATTTACATTTTGTGTGTTGCGATTTGAAAAGTCAACTTCATTGGTATTACAATGCGTTCATATTTAGGAAAACATAGTTTTTTTATTCTTTTGGAATAGTTTCGAACTGAAAATTTTATTTATTCTGCTTTCATTACTAAAAAAATTGCTACCATCCAAGCTTTACTTAAGGCCTGTTTTCCCAGAAGCGTCTCGTGCGTCTATCGCTGCCCACTGCTTTGCATTGTTTTAGGTTAGTCTATTTTGTCAGAAGCGTCTGACGCAGACCACTGCTCCTGGAGCAGACGGAGACGCAGTCGCTAGCGATTATTACTGGAATAAGCACGTGTTTAGTTGTTGACTTAACTTTTGTTTCTTTAAATAAGTTGTGTTTTCAAGTTTGCTAAACTTAGCACAAAGTTGAATTGTGTAACATCAAGCCGGAAAAACTCGTGAAACTTGGTCTCATCAGAGTTGAGGTGATTTTCAATTAACAATTTTAAATATTCCTCTTCAGGTCTATTTAAAAACATAGTAGGCAAAAGCATGAGACATGCATGGTTTGCAAAACATTTCTAATATATCTTCCGTCAAATTCCTCAGCTAACAAATACTTAACTATTTGCTTTTTACAGCTCATTTTCAGAAACACTTGTCTCATCACCAAAGTAAACCACTCACTGATCAAATAATCGCAAGGAACAGACGCTTCTGGCAAAACGGGCCTTAACATCCAATAAATACCATTTTCTCAATTAAAAGTGCCATCAGCCAAAAATCTTAGAGCAACTAACATTTTTTTATATTTAGAATAGCCTACTGTAATGAAGTCTGTTGTCGGGAAATCTGTGCCTTGGAGTGAATGCCTCAAATGACTAATTGACGGAATCGTTGGAACATCTAAATCTATCTTTAAATTCATCAAGTCATAAAAGGGTTTTAGTCATGATAACGAGCTGGTCGTATGCGAGGTAGTGGAGTGGTGGTACGTAGTAGTCAAAATAATACAGTAAAGACATTTCATAGTCATATTGGATACACACAGCGACCAGTGAGTACAAACGATATAAACAACTCTTGTTGTAATTATTTACATCGTACAACACAAAACGGTGATATCACTGCGAACCGATGTCTCAACGACTGATGGTTTGCTTGATGTTTCCCATGGCACTAACACTATTTCTGATAATTATGTTAGATAACGGTGGTTTACCTGTGTCGGAAAGCTCAATTTATATTTTACGCATAATTTTATCATTAAAATTGTAATAAAATGGGATTTATCAGTAAAAATATGTTTGTCATGATACTACTTTGTTACGTGCATAATTTATTTGTTGTTTTAAGTTGTTGACGATTTTTTCATGTTTTATAAGCCTTTTTACCGTTTTTACATATTTTTTTAATATAGCGTTGTGGTAATGAAATTGTTCTGAATTTAATGAGAATCCATATTTAAACATTAGTTTTTAAAAAATAATAAAAATAAAGCAGTTTAATTAGATAAAACCGGCATGATGTCACCTTAAACCTGTCTCCTACCAGGTCTGAGTTGGAGACCAAACACCATTGTTCTTTGGGCTCGGACTATATATTTTGAGCCTGGACTCGTGAACCCACCGGGACTAATGATCGAAAGCCGGGACTATCTGTGTAATTGGACTCGTGAACCCATTTTTTAAAACCAGGATTTATCCCTGCACTAATTGTGTGGAGCCTATCAGTTTGGTCCGCAGCTTAAAAGTATAGTCTCGAGCTCGTGAACCCGATTTTTTAAGCCACCGCACAAATACCGGTTATTTCCGGATTTTGGGCTCGGACTACGATAAACCCGAGCTTGTGAACCACCTCTAAGTTAATTTAATAGGCTAACAACTGTTGTCGGGAAATCCGTGCCTTGGAGTGAATGCCTCAAATGACTAATTGACGGAATCGTTGGAACATCTAAATCCATCTTTAAATTCATAATAGATAACTATTTCACAGGAAATTTTCACTAACTTAATGCCAAAGTGATTTTATAAATGGATTAAGTATTATCATTGACTATATATAGTCAATGGTATTATTTAACTATTGTTGCCAATTTCAAGAATATGCTAAGGCCTAGTTTGTTTGTTTTGATTTAACCTCAAATTTTGACATGTATGGACCATTGAAGACATTAGGCCTACATGATCGCATTACAGTCAAAAAGGTTCATATTCAAAGATATTCTAAAACACAGAGGATACACGTCCGGTAACCAGACGTGGATTAGGCGTCTGGTAGAGACGTCACCGGGTTGTGAGGTCCCGGAACGCCATTACCACAAAGATACAATGTTCGGCCAGCGTTGTTCGTGGTGTAGTTCCCAAACTGTGCAATATTAACCGACTTATTAGGCCTAACACCTAAAACAGCAAAAAGTTAGTGAGCTAGAGTTAAGTTAAGGCTGTCCAATGTTTTTAAGCACATTGCAAAACAGGATTTACAGAACTATAAATAAGCACTTATTGATCCATAAGAATTTTATTGATAGTTAATTACAAACAGATAAATGTTTACATAAGTTTAGAGTGATTACTTAATTACTTAACCTAATAGGCCTAATTAATTGTATGAGGCTTTTATAACCTAAAAATCAGAAGCTAACTTACTATAATCTCACCTTGAACTCTACCATAAACTTCAAAGTCAACACTAATAATTTTTTTAGTGGCCATTTATTTAATGAAATTTAACTGATCTGTTAAATTATGCTAAATCACAACAACATATAAGTTACCATTACCAATCAGAAATAAAACCGTAAAACCGTCACCGTCGGCGTCGTGGATGTAATTGTGAAGTTAGCGGTTTTTTTCATCGGCGGACCGGCGCTCTTTCGTTTCGATGTTTCGTTTCGTTTCGAGTTTTGTTTTGAATTGATTGTAAATTACATGTACAATAATACGGTTGGTTGTAATAGATACGGGTTGGTCATCGATCTCTATTATTTATCGATGGGGTTGGTACGCCTGCGGACGCCATCATAAACGTGTTTTTGCAGGGGCAGGGTTGCTTTGAGTTGAGTTGAGGGTTGTCGGATAAGCAATTCAATGACATAAGGCGTGAAATGATGTATTTACATGTTTATAATGTCAATAATACGTGATAATACCCGGTGGGGCACTGGCACACGGAAGATTTCTCAGGTGCCGTTTGACGTCACTAACTGCTGTGACTGAAGAAACAATTAAAAATGTTTCTATTATTAAATGAAACTGTCATAACCTAACCAAACTAACCAAACGTGCTGATAATAAAAAGATCGAATGAAGGATTACTAATCTAAAAAATAGTTTTGTTCATAAAATAAAATTATAAATGCCTAAAATTCAATTTTATAATTATAAAATTAAACTGTCATAACCTAACCAAACCAGCAGTTAGTGACGTCAAACAAACGGCACCTGAGAAATATTCCGTGTGCCGTTTCGTGATAATACAATGCCTTGATATAACGTGTATACGCGTGCTGAGTGGCTGAACTAACTAAATTCATATTGTATTGTAATAGGCATATTTGAGGCAGTAATGAACAGTATCACGGCCACCTTTAAGGATATAAGGCGGCCGTGACATTATACATAGCTATGCCTTAACACAACACGTTCAATTTAAACTCCTAACATAAAAAAAGTGCATAACCTTTTTCCTAAGCCCATCGCATCAACTTTGAGCTATTATAATGGTAATATACAGTGTTTAGAATAATCAGTATGAGTCCCGTAAATTACGAAGCCATGGTCAAATATGACAGGTTGCCGAATGAAACAAGGGAAATGCGCTACGAATATAGTTATTTGTGCAACTAGTGAGCAAAGGGAGCAAATGACTCACTCGAGAGAAATACTTACTGGAATGGTTTCTCGAGTGTGGCAATTGCACTTTGCACTCGAGTTGTATTTTTCCTACAGTTACCATAAAACAAATAATTTGGTAAAGAAACGTGACATATTTTTACTATGACATTTAATGATACGATACAACAGTACAACAGCTGACCAGCTGATTTACAGCCAGTGCTGCCAACGTATTTCGCGCGCATACGACCCTGTCTGCATGTTACGCGCTCACTGTATTTCGTGCCTTCTCGTTGCAAATCTGGAGTGAGTGAGACAAAGTAATTAGAGTGAGACAATAATGTTAACATTGTCTCACTGATGACAGGGGCATCGCCTTGGGGGGGGGGGGGGTAGGGGGGGAGCCTCCCCCCCTAGAATCTGGGAAAGAGAAAAGTTGGGAATTTCCTTGCCACGAGTTGGGACAGTTGGGAAGTCAGATACAAGAAAAATATATTTTTAAACTAAAGAAAATTTAAATATTTGTAAAAATCCATCAAAGATAAAAATGTTTTTGATTTGGACGAATAAACTTGACGCTTCTTAGATTTCATTTAACTTTGACAAGGCTAAACCATGACTAAACACGCCTTATTTTAAGAAATCAATAATCAATATTAGCGGTATAGCTTGTTGGAATTTCGTTTACGAGAAATTTTGTTCCTTATTGGACGTATGTTGGCTACCTTGATCCTGTCCTGTGTTGATGATTCTGAATGATTCTTCTGCGAGACTGCGAGTTTGAATTTTAAAAGTGCAAGTGATGTAGCTCTTCAGTTCAATTATGTTGTTTGTTAGTGTTTACAAGAAATTCAAAAATATTTTTCACGTCAGTCACATGAAATATATTTTATACCTTTTTTGTGGTATTTGGAGCAGGCTAACTGACCGGAGTACTTGCTAAGAAGCAGATTAAAATAACATTAAAGATAGGTTTTGTGCATCGGTATTACCTTTAAAACTCTTATTTTGTAATAACCCAAATAAAATATTTATTCTCTGAATATATTTTAAAAAATCTACACAAGTTATTTATCATTCCTAATTAAGGATTTACAACAATGAATCAACTAATCACTCTGAAACAGATCTACGTGGACAAAACATAACCTAAAATTTGATGTTTGACTTTCACTCTAAGTTTGATTTTTGTCTAAGTTCTAGTTTGATGAAGATAAAGGTTAAAATTTGTATTGTATGTATAAGTTTATTATCAACCAAGTTGAACGTTTTTATTTTATACGAGTCTTATTTTAGGGTATTCTTTTCTAGACTAGAATAATATTATTCACAACACTGATATTAATATTTCATCATTACAAATTTGTTTAGGCCTACCCTAGTTTTAAGTTTTATGAAAGTTAAAATGTTGATCTTAACTTCTAAAAGTATTTTAATTTCATTATTTTGTAATAAAATATTTTTTCTATAGGTACTAATTTGTACTAGGCTTATTTTATATCCCTAAAATTTTACACTGCTACGTCTGCTAGGTACCACAATGGTTTGTAAAGTTTTTTGGATTTGAAACATTACTTGTTCAAGTTTTTTGAAGTCATAAAATTTCATTATGAATTGGTAGAAGCAAAGATTGTAGAAGTTTTAGAAATTGAGTAATTTTGTATATATGTAAAACTAGCTATGTTTTGTTAATGCAAGTTTATAAATACTGAATTGAGTGTGACTGCAGTGTAGTATAATAATTTGTGGATTTTTAAAAATAGTACAGAAATTGATTTCTAAAAAAAATAAAATAGTTGGGAAATCTATGTTAAGCAGTTGGGAAATTTGGGGCTTCTCCCCCCCCCCTGGAATTTAACCAAGCAACGCCACTGACTGATGAGCGAATTGGCCATTTTGCTTTCTCAAATCAGTGAGAGAACATGTACATTGTTAGGTAACTGTAGGAAAAATAATTTATTATACTTATGACAAAACAAATATGTAGCTTCCGACTTGCTGTATAATTTACAAACACAAATAATTTATAACCACAAAATACTAGCTGATAAGAAAGAGAAAATACAGTTCCGAATTAAGTAAGTTGTTATAAATTTACAATGCTAAGATACCGATTTTCAAGATTAAATGCATTTAAGAAAAAGGGGGAAAGGCAACGCGGAAATTTAGATGACCAAGCGAAATGAATTTAGAATTTAGAGTTTAGACTAACTCAACTGAGTGCTCTCCGTCCGTAGCGCAAAGTTGGCCGTGGAGGGGAACCAGCAACCAGCCAATCTCGTTGTGGCTATGCCGTGTGACGTCAGTGCAATCCCTGGATAGTGCTGCTGCCTAACGACCACGCAGGGCGTTAGGCAAACTGTAGTTGCGCATTTACTGATTTCATCGAGCGAATTGCTGAGCTGGCTAAGCAAATTCCAGCCACGCGCGTTACACTTCTGAGAACATTGGCCTGGCCTAGCGCTGAGCCAAGGCTGACGGAATATTCCACTGGCTGACGCACAAGTATGGAGGTTAACACAGTCCATTATTACAGACCCTCCTTTTATATTTGAAATAAAGCAAAGCTTTTGTGACGCTATTGACAGGGTTTCTTGAGGGTGTAGCAAAAACCTCCCCAGCTGATATGTAAGGGGTCTGGGAATTTTTGGGGCCGTCACACAAATATATATGGATGATAGGAACTCGCGACAGGAAAAACTGCACAATCTTTTTCCTAAGCCCATCACTTCAACCATAGATTAAACATACTCCCTAAGGGAGTATGTTTAATCTATGGTAATACACAACGTGTAGAATAATCGGTAGGAGGGAAACGGACTTTCGGCCTGCGCTGCCCCTGAATCGGCCTGGGCTGCCCTTATTATGTGGTGTAAAGGGTAGGTATCTCGGGAGTAGGAACCCGACCTGAGCTTGCACTTTACCCACTAAATCCCAGGAATCTCCCGGAAATACTTGTGGGGTGGTGGACAGGGTCGTGTCGACACAGGAAGCAGGGCAATTGAGCCAAACCTTCTAGGAAATACATTACTATTGTATTAGAATACTGCTGTAATCTTTGGCATTAACGACTCAGGAAGTGATGGTGTCTAGGGGTGGTGGATATCCGCCCCAAATAAACTTAGTTTTGTTTCAAAATTTTAGATTCAAAAATACGCAAATTCCTACTACATATAATAAATCTTGTATGCTTCTTTTAATACTGTATATGATAGTGATTTTTAGTACTGTATTATGACAAATTTAAATGTACAATACTTGCAGTAATTTGAACTTGGATTCTTTATTTCGTAGGCCGCGAACGCTAAATATGTAACAGATATTGGTGTACAGTAGTTAAACAATAAAAAATAGTGCATTTCATCACTAGAGGGTACCTATTAGCGAATTTCCCTATAGGGAAGTAGCTATTACCGTAGGTGGCACGGTAAGACCTAGACCCGGGACCGATTTACTTTTTCATTTTGATGTCCCCAGAGGCCAAAAACACTATTCGTTCAAATTTTTATATATGTATATATATATATATATATATATATACGTCCGTGAACGCGATAACTTGAGTAATTTTTGTCCGATTTTGATGAAATTTGGTTTAAAGGTGTAAAGCGGGATAAACTTGATCGAGTTCGCACGATCGGACCATGGGAACGGGGCTTTACGGGGGGTTTTATGGGGTAAAAATTGGTTTTTCTCACTTTTGCCCCTCAAAACACAAAATTTCCCAATTTCTGTTTAGACCTTTTTAAAGAGCTTAAAAAAAACAAATAATTTAGTATATAAAAGTATTTTTGTTCAATTATTAGTAACGGAGAAAATTTAAAAAATTGTAAATTTAAAATTCCCATGTTATTTTTATGGAGAATAGTGTCAAATGTTGTAGTTTGCTTGTTTATGAATATATATTTTGATCAAACTTGTCAAATTTATTTATTTTGTATTAAGCTATCAATATTTTACTCAAAAACACACTTTATTTGTTTCCTTGTAGCAGCAAACCTAGGTACTCGTTAAACCTAATGTTATTAAAATATAATTTA